TGTAAGTATACAGTACAAAGTGAATTTATCTACATAACTGGCAACTAGATCAAGAAAAACAATTTTATCAGAACCTCCTGAATGTCTTCATGCCCTTTTCCGGGCATGGGCTCTGCCTACAACCCACCTGGATAACCGCTATCCTTACTTTTGAAACTAAGTTGAGTTTTGCTTGTTTGACCTTTATGTAAATGAAATCACAGATTATGTTCTTCTTTACCTGGCTTCTTTCTTTCATTCAATATTATATTTGAGAGTCATCTATTTTTTTGCAACAGATAAAACATTCTTAAGTGATAACTGTTAAGTCTTTCGCTTTCTTACTGCTTAATGCAGATATAACATTAGCTTGTCTTCAAATTCCTGTCACATAAATTAATGAATTAAACCATTTTCAGGAAAACAACCACTAACATAAATACTTTTCAATGTGATTAAACTTCAATTTAAAGTTAACTAATCTAGCCCTAACTGGTGTGGCTCAGTTGGTTGGACATCATTTGAAAGGTCGCCGGTTCGATACCCAGTCAGTGCACGTGTGAGAGGCAACCAATTGATGTTTCTCTCCTCCTCTCTCCCTCCCTTCCCCTATTTCTAAAAATAAATATATAAAATCTTTAAAAAGTAAAAAATCTAGATATCCTCATCATAATACCATGGTTAGCTTACTAACATATTTATCAAAAGTCTTTTTGATTCCTTAGGTCTCATCTTTTTAAGTCTTTAACAAGTAAAAGTTGCAGAGACCACTTTGGAAATGAATAAGATATAGAAAAACATTTTTCTGTTTTTTTTTTTTTCATTTAAAAAAAAAATTTATTTTTAGAGAAGGGAAGGGAGGGAGAAAGAGAGGGAGAGAAACATCAATGTGTGGATGCTTCTCATGTGTTTGTCCCCTACTTGGGGGCCTGGCCCACAACCCAGGTACGTGCCCTGACTGGGAATTGAACTGCTGACCCTTTGGTTCACAGTCCAGCACTCAATCCCCTGAGCCATACCAGCTAGGGCACATTTTTTCTACATGTTGAAGGCAGAGTTTAAAGGATAAAAAGCTACCAACAGCAAGCATTGTAAGAAGTAATCAATGAGTAATTATGCTTAAGATGCTCGAACCAGGTCAGTAGAGGTACTTGGAAAAGGTGTACTCTGTAGGGACAAAAGGTTAAAAAACAAACCAAAAATAATGCGCTGTCCCCAGGTACCAAAATGGTGAATGTGGCACCAATAAAGAGCCCAGGGATAGACGCAGAGGTGGTAAATGGGATTATTTTTAGCACACTACATTTGTACTACACTCATTCCTGGTCATTTAAATAAATGACTAAATTCATTTAGTTTCTATTCTCACTGATGCTGAGAAATGGAAGACAAAATTTAGATGCTAGCACTATCAAGATCTTTTTTAAAGGAGTTGTATTTACCTTATGAAAATAATTCATGTTTTAAAACAAGAACGTCAGTTATCATTTTAATTGTCAAAATATCCTAAAGTTATTCAAATTATTTGCAAAATAAAGATACAATGGATAAAATGAAGCATGGGACAGTTCCAACAAACACCTTCTGAGATTACAGAAAAACCAGTACAATTATGGAGGCAACTATGACCTTGATCAGAGACACACAGCAGTGCTTATCTACACGCTAGCAACATATAAACTATATAATGCCTGTATGTAAATTATTCTTATGGCCTAGACTATTCATACTAGGGGAAAAAAAAAAAAAAAAGAGTACTTCATTTGTTTGTCTTAGGAATTTCACAGCATTTAAAAAGATTCCAACAGGGACTTGCCGAGAAGTAAACTTTGGGATGAGCATAACAAAGCATAAGTAAAAATATACTTGTGAAAGCCAATGTGAGGAAGAAGGTGGAAAGACATTAAGGACCATACAAGTTTTGCTATTAGAAATATCTATCTCAGCCCTGGCTGGTGTGGCTCAGTGGACTTTTTATTTTACGTACTAATGAGTAATTACTTTAAGCACAATTTATGAAATGAAATTTATGTCACAAAACTTATTTACATAAATTTAGTACCTTTGCTTCACTGCTTACAACTGGTTTTACAGGGAACTGAACTTCTGTGGCTTTTAATATTGTATTTTCTTGAAGAATATCTTGTTGAGATTGATTGTGACCAAATGGCTAAAAAAAATAAAACAAAATGGTGAGAAAGTTATTTCACAAAAAACTTAAACAGATATTATTAGTGAATACTCAAGATGCAAATGATTTGTGTTCTAAAAAATTCTTGTCCTCAGTTACATGGATTACCTATCGTAGCAACAAAGGTATAATTGGTAGCAGTCTGAGAAAGCCTATTTAATCAATCCTCAACATAGCCAAAACACTCACTGTGAATAGGCAGAAGAAAATAATGCTGTTGTAATAAGTAATTAAGATAAAATAAAAACAAGAAATTTAAAACTTCATTATTAGTATTTACAAAATGAAGTTTGATTAGAGAAGAGATGGAAGTAGTGGAAATGTTTGTGAAAAGACCACAGGATAAAATACTTGGAGCTTATATGACTCACTAACTTAAATAAATAGCTCTGGATTTGGTCCTAACTTGCAGTCAATTCCCAGACAAGCTCCTTAATCTCTCTTTCCATATTGGTGAAGGGACCAAATGGGATGGGGATTAGACAACATCTACGGTAGCTTGTAGTTTTGACTTCAAGCTAAAGAGAGGTTTGGGAAGAATTAAGACTTAAGTTTGGTGGCATTTCCCTGAGGAAACTATGCCAAAATTGTATATGCGTGAAGTCAGGTAGAGGAAGTGAGGAAGTGGACAGAATGGAGTATAACGAGAAGAGTTTTGACTCCAGTATTCTTAAAAGTAGAGAATGTTAGCACTGTTAACACGGAGTTCCTTCTTTTCCTTAAGTTAAAAAAAAAAAAGGCAAAATGCAGGCCAAGTATAATTGCCGTGACATTAAAATAATTCTGATCCATGGAAATTTTAGAGAGAAACAGAGAAGAAACCTGGCTTTCCTTAAAAGGATCTAAATTGACTTTTGACTTCAGGTTAATGAAATTTTGTATTTAAAAGGGGAAAATTTGGGGGGTGGTGTGGGGGTAGGTAGAAGAGGGTATAAGGGAGATAAACGGTAATGAAAAAATACAAACCCCCCTCTAAAAATGGGGGGGGGGGGAAGCATACAATTCAAAAAAAATCAAAGGGGAAAATTTAACTTATCTCTATACAGCTAAATCTGGTATAGTTTAACTCACCTTTCTACCATAAAGACACTGAAAGAAAATTACTCCAACTGACCACACATCAACCTTGTTGGAAATTTTTGGTGGTTCTTTTCCAACTACAAAACACTCGGGAGGTAAATACCTATAGTTTTGTGGGAGAAGAAAAAGGGAAACAGTACTATTAACAATCTATAAGTAGAAAATCTCAGAACACTAATTTTACCCACACTAAACCTTAGGACCTTCATTAATGAAAATCACCAAACTTCTGAAGTATTTATATTCTTATATCATTTCATCCCAGTGCCAAAACATACAACATTGTCATAAAGTATGCTATACACACACACAAGGTATATATTTTATATATTATCCACAGAAATAAAAAATTATTAGAAATTACAATATTCTAATTTGAGTAAGTGTCCAATAATAGAAGAAATCTTCTCTCACTGTCTCGCTTCACCAACATTCAAACTTTATGCAGTTCTTTTCTAAACACACATATCTGATCAGGTGGCTCTTCTGTTTAACAAACTTCACTGCCAAGGCAAGATATTTCTTGTTTGTAACAAATACCATCCTAATCCAGAAGCAACTTAAATTTCCAACATCTGCACTCACTCTTCTCCCTCACCCCCATAAACTCTCGAGAGAAAGCCAATTAACTTGGCTGTCCACATTGCTGTTTTGTCACCTATGCTTTTGAATATGACTATCTCTAATACTGTCCCTAAGCACTCCAATTCACTTGGTGAGCACCTTTTCTTTCAACGAAAATTTTAAGTATGAAAAAAAAAATCGTATCATCTATTCGTATTCCTAGAAAATGTCACAAGCAGAACTTAAACTTTAAACTGGCTTTAAAAGAATCCATGAACATAAATAATCCCTGTTCATGAAAAGCAAAGACCATAAAGACCTGTGGTATCTTATGGAACTGGTCATTATGTGCCCAGGCTACCCGTGTGAAGACTGTTCTGGAAAACTGAATGTCAACATCCTGTCCAATAAATTATAGTTATCTTTCTCTCAATTAAAATTTCACTGCTTTTGCTCAACTAATTTATCCTGAAAACAAAGTTCATTTTAAAATTTTATAGTCTGTTCTTCATTTTCATGAATTTGACAGTAAGTTTGACAGTTCTCACTGAAGTAGTTTTTGTCAACACCTACATAACTTTGAAGGGAATGACATTCATTTAGAATGTGAATTTATTATGACTTCATACTATATATAGATATAGATATAGATCTGTATCGATACAGATCTATATCTATATATAGTATGTAGTCTATATATAGTATATATAGTATAGATACAGATCTATATCTATATCTATATATAGTATGAAGTCATAAAAGGTATTTTTAAGGGTCAAGTCCAAAGGCCAGGAATATGTCAGATACCTCTCCCATCTATGATCAACAAAACATCCACCTCCAAGAACTGTAACCACAAAACCTCTAGAGAGAGAGCTTGATGCTCATTTCCTGTAACAGTTAAGATGTTATAGTTATATAAGCAGTTTTTTCATGATAAACATCACTCTAACATTATAGAAGAAAATCCCCAAATTCTTCATGTCAGAAGTTTCTGGCTAGGTACTAAAACTACTTGCTAATGCCAAGTTTTTCTCCCTCTGGTGATATTTACAGTTAAGACCAGGTTAAGTAAAGATGACTGAGAGAAGTCTCCCTCTTGACACAAGAGACTTTGAATCAGTACCCTTATTACAGAAATTTCAAAGGTGTATGAAAAGAAAAACTAAGCTCTCGTAAAAAGCCTTCTCATTAATCTAGCCAATTTTGATGTTTTTAGTAACACATTTACCAGTAAGTGCCTGCCCCTTGGGAAGTTAGATCCATTCCATCTACACCATAACTATCATCATCCATAATCTTGGATAGACCAAAATCAGTGATTTTGATTTCTCCACATGCTGTTCCATCTACCAGAAGGATGTTTCCTAGAAACAAAATATAAGGTTCTTTTAATGATGTATGAAAAACACTATCTTTACAATCTATGCTAACTCTGGGGAAGTAAATATTATTTAAAATTTTAAATACAATTAAAACATACATATTTTTAAATATTTTATTTTTCAAGAGAGCAGAAGGGAGGGAGAAAGAGAGGGAGAGAAATATTGATGTGCAAGAGATACATCAATTGGTTGCCTCTCACACACCCCAAGGTAGGGACCTAGCCTGCAACTCAGCCATGTGCTCTGACTGGGAATCGAACCATCAACCTTTTGATTCACTGGTGGGCACTCAATCCACTCGGACACAGCAGCCAGGGCCAATTACAATATATTTAAAAATAAAATTTTAAAAAGTGACATGACAAAAATACTTTAAATTCTACTAGTATTCCATTGACATTTAAAAACTAAACCAAGAAGCATGGTTTCAGGTAAATAAAAAATGACTTTATATTCTTTAGAACTTATAAAAATTATTTAGACACATTTTATTAATTACCTGGCTTAAGATCATAATGTATAATAGGGGGTTTGATTTCATTGAGATATCTTAGTGCATTTACAATTTGCATTACAATAGACCTAGCTTCTTTCTCTGACATTAATTTATGTTGCTTCAGATAGAAATCCAAGTCATTGCCTTCACAGTATTCTAACACTGTACAAAACCTACAACAGAGAAGAGAAAAAAATTAGACATAAAATACTATCCAATAATTCAGGATCACAATGGAGAAATGAAGATATTTATATCATCACAACAGAATAGGGAAAGCATAAACAAACATATCTTAAAACTAAATCCTTATATGCACTTACGTGTCTGTATCCAAGGAGAAATAATCATACAGCTTCACTATTCTGGGATGATCCAGTTCTTTGTGTATTCTATATTCTCTGCAGGCATGTCTACAGGAAGAGAGAGAGAGAATATTAATTCTCCATGACCATTAAATATATTTCCAACTGATAAAAAGAATGAAGTATTAATATTTACTTGTGGTAGTTTTCCTTTTTCTCATCCCTCCAGCTCTTATTAAGCTGATGGATCTTCACAGCAGCATATCTTTGTTCATAAAGGTCAAAAGCCTAGGGTTCAAGTCAGAGAAGAGTTAGGGCCAAAGACCAACAGAATAGCTGAAGAGATTTTTTTAAAAATTTTGGTGATTAATTTTTTGCGAAATATTAAATTAGAATATACACTACAACTCTTGTGTTCACCTTTCCTAAGATTACATACAGTTCAATGACACATTATCAGAAACAAGATATAAATTCCATGGTGCTAAATTAGAGAAAATGTTAATGTCAACTTTCACGTTTCAAGTTTTATAAATGCAAATATATTGAATCAAAATAAAACAATAAAGCTATTTCTTGTTTTTAATAGGAACTTGCTCCTCTCTCCTGGCAGCAGCAGTAAGCAGCCAGGAAAACAGATGGCTCTAATGATGCTTTTGTAGGTTGGATAAAGCAAATCGTTTTTCTCTAGCTTCTCCTATCAACTCTCTACCTTTTCCTTTCACCCCCCACTTGTTTGAAAACTAACAAGTTTCTAACAATTTCCCAACAGTTTAAAAAAATTATAAGCTTTGATTATGAAATCATTCGAACAGAATAACCCTTAACCATCTATCATTATCACACCTAACTACATCAATAATAATTTCTAACCTCATCTAATACCCAACTTATCTTCAATTTCCCCTGGTTGTCTCCAAGGGGGGAAAAAAGACTTTATACTGGTTTGTTTAAATCACTAGCCTATCTCTAAAGTAACAAAATAAAGAACGATCAATATTCTTTTAAGGCTTCAAATGATTTTTAAATTTTTTTTTTAAAAAACAATGAATGTCATTAAGAAAGAGATTTAATAATTTAGGTTCCACTGTTTTTATATACAAAGGTACCCCTTTATTTTTTTTATCATCACCTGAGGACATGATTACATGATTTTAGAGAGAAGAGAAGGGAGGGAAAAGGAGAGGGAGAGAAACACTGCATGAGAGAGAAACATCAACCAGTTGCCTCCCGTATACACCCCGGACTAGGGACAGAACCCACAACTTAGACATGTGTCCTGAATGCTAATTGACCCGCATGACCTTTCAATTTATGGGACGACGTTCCAACCAACTGAGACAAACTGGCCAAGGCCAAAGGTGCCCCTTTAAAAAAAACAATTAAAGCTTATATATGCATTAGAAAGAAGGTCCTCAGTCCCCATTCTCCCTGTCAATTTCATCTAAAAATGAGCAGTAGTGGTAAATTGCTTGTCACAAAATTATAAAAGCAGATTAGAAATAATACAGTATGGAATAATTAAGAATATTCACTTTGGAGTGAGATGACCTTATTAGCTGGATGACTCTGTGCTAGTATCTTCTCAGCCTCAGTCTCATGTATAAAGTTTGAGTTGTTGAGAGGATTAAATGGGGTAAAACATATTTAGGAAAGTATGATTCATAGTAAGTATTCAATAAGTACTAGCTAATTATATTATTAAAAGTTGAGTTTAAGTGGGCAAGGTGGTGGCTAGCGGATGGCTAGCGGACCAGGAAGTCCCACATTTGCGTGCAGATAAACTGTGAGAACAGGGGGAAGAAAGCCTCAAAACCTCTGGAGATAAAAACCTGTGGGGGTTGTGGTGGCAGGAGAAACACCCAGCCCCACAAGAGAGTCTGCTGCAGAGGCCCACAGGGTCCTGGAATGTACACAAACCCACCTAACCAGAAATCAGCACCAGAGGGGCCCAATTTGCTTGCGGGTAGCAGGGGAAGTGACTGAAAGCCAGCCAAGAGCTGAGCAAGTGGCATTGCTCCCTCTCAGACCCCTCCCCCACATACAGCTTCACAACTCTGGGACCTGGGTTGCCCTGCCTTGGTGAATACCTAAGGCTCTGCCCCTTCCAATGTAAAAGGCATGCTGATACAAAGAAATATGGTCCAAATGAAGAAAAGATCAAAGCTCCAAAAATAGAACTAAGCAATGAACAGATAGCCAACCTATCAGATGCAAAGTTCAAAACACTGGTAATGAGGATGCTCACTGAGAGTATGGAGGAAAAAGTGAAGCCTATGCAAAGTGAAATAAAGGAAAATATACAGGGAACCATCAGTAAAGGGAAGGAAACCGGGATTCAAATCAATGATTGGGAGCAGAAAAAGGAAATAAACCTTCAACCAGAACAGAATGAAGAAACAAGAATTCAAAAAAAATGAGGAGAGGCTTAGGAACCTCTAGGACAACTTTAAACATACCAACATCCGAATCATTAGGGGTGCCAGAAGGAGAAGAGGAAAAGCAAGAAATTGAAAACTTATCTGAAAAAATACTGAAGGAGAACTTCCCCAATCTGGCCAAGGAAATAGACTTTCAGGAGATCCGGGAAGCCCAAGAGAGTCCCAGAGAAGTTGGGCCCAAGGAAGCACACACCAAGGCACATTGTAATTAAAATGCCAAAGGTTAAAGGAGAGAATCTTAAAAGCAGCAAGAGAAAAGGAGACAGTTACCTACAGAGGAGTGCCCATAAGTCTATCAGCTGATTTCTCAAAAGAAACCTTGCAGGCAAGAGGGGGCTGGCAAGAAGTATTCAAAGTCATGAAAGGCAAGGACCTACACCCAAGATCACTGTATCCAGCAAAGCTATCATTTAGAATGGAAGGGCAGATAAAGTGCTTCCCAGGTAAGGTAAAGAAAAAGGAGTTCATCATCACCAAGCCCTCGTTATATGAAATGTTAAAGGGACTTATCTAAGAAAAAGAAGATCAAAAACTATGAACGGTAAAATGACAACAAAGTCACAACTATCAACAGCTAAACCTAAAAACAAACAAACAAAAAACCAAATTAAGCAAACAACCAGAACAGGAAGAGAATCATAGAAATGGAGATCAGAGGGGAGGGGGAAGAATGGGGGAAAAGGTACAGGGAATAAGCAGCATTAATAGTAGGTACAAAAATAGACAGGGGGGGTGTTAAGAATAGTATAGGGAGTGGAGAAGCCAAAGAACTTATCGTCCGACCCACGGACATGAACTTAAGGGGAGGGGGATGGTTGAGGGAGCATCGGTGCAGGGTGGAGGGCAATAAAGGGGAGGAAAAAATGAGGGGGGAAAAAAGCCGAGTTTAAAGAAATAGAAAAGAATTTTAAAAAGTTCATGCGAGGAAAAGCAAAGGAGCATAATGGATGTAATTCAGAGGCAATCATAAAAAATGATGACAGACGAAAATAAAACTTTTCAGTATACTATCGATAAAAAGTTAATAGTATCAGTATGTATTGACACATCTTTCTCCCAAGATGAGTATAGTTTCCCATAAAGCTAATGCATTCATCACCAAGCAACTGATTCAGTATTTTCCACCTTGATATAGATAAAAGTCTACAAAAATGTCACTTACATTCTGTTGCTTTGTTTCCCAATGGACCTGGCAACCAAGAAAGGACTTTGCAGAGGTTGGGCTGAGTTGTTAGTATTTAGGTCAGTATTAAAAGTTCAACTCATTAGGCATTCTCTAGTTTCTATATTCTTCACAAAGGAAAGCCTCTTTGGCCCTATCTGTGAGCCTGAAAACAATGGCAATAATACTATTGGGCATTGCCAGAGGGTTGTTGTGATTAGTAGGTTCAGAAGCTGAGCAACTCTTAGGCTGAGTTAGTGTTAAGCTAACTGTACTTTTGGTGATTTTTAGATCCCAGATGAGCTATTATGAACTTTTCCAATTAGTGGCCTAGGTAAGCCTACCTCAACCACTGCAGTGCATGGGGATCCACTACATTTGAATAAAAGATACAGGAATTGGAAGAGAGCTCACAGATCACTCCTGACAGGTGAGGAAGATGAGGTCCATGATGCCTACTGTTTGTCTAAGTTAACCAAACAAAAACAAAAAAATAGTTAACAGTTGAACCAAGACCAGAATTGAAGTTCTCTGAATTCAAATTCCATAAATTTTCCCAGAGTCAGAAAAATCTGTATATACTGTCCAGATGAAGACAGTGAGACAGAGGATGATAAGAAGCCCAAAATAATAGTCATTTAATATGTCAGAATTAGGATTCAAACCCAGCCAGTCTAGCTTCAGAACCCAAGCTCTTAACCACTAACTGTACCAGTATATGAGGTCTGTCTGGAAAAAGCCCAGCCATTTTTAACATAACAGGAATGGTTATCACAACAATGATGTAACTTGGCAGCCAAAGAGAGCAGACTAGAATGTGCACAATGACGACTTCACTGTATTAGTCAGTGCGGACTAGTCAGTGCAGGTAGATGCCTGCATCAAATTTTGCATTAAGCTTGAACATTCCTCCAAGGAAGCTATTCCAATGATTCAGAAGGCTGCAGCTATGGGCAACCGGTGATTGGCAGCTTCATCATGACAATGTACCCACTCATGCATCACATTTCATGCAGAGTTTTTTGGTGAAACATTAAATCACCCAGGTAACTCAGCCCCACTACAGCCCAGATTTGGCACCCTGCAACTTCTGGCTCTTCCCAAAACTAAAATCACCTTTGAAAGGGAGGAGATTTCAAACCAACAGTGAGGTTCAGGAAAATATAACAGGTCAGCTGATGGTGATTGGGAGAACTATATGACATCCTAAGGTGCCTACTTTGAAGGGGACTGAGGCATCTTTGTCCTATGTAAGATATTTCTTGTATCTTCTTCGATAAATGTCTCTATTTTTCATATTACATGGCTGGTTACCATCTGGACAGACCTCATATAATGAAGCTCAAAGTAGCACAAGCAGCTTATAAAAGGCGGGCTTCTATAGGAGTGAGGTTTAAGGCCAGAGTATGACCTTCATCCTAAATAAGAGCAAACAGGAAACCACTGGGGCTTATAAACTAGGGACTAAGATAATCATATTGTATTTTATTAAAAGGCTACTCTAGCTGCAGCATATGTAAATAAATACACTGGAGAAACGTAATGACCAAAAGAAGGTGGTTAGCTAGGAGGTTTCAGCAGCAATGCAAACAAGAGATGTGACCTTAAGAGAAAGGGAAGGGTCACTGCTGGATTTAGGAGAGTTTAATGACATTAGTAACAGTGGGTACCAGAACTGGTTATATGTTAGGGAAAGTGAATTAAAGGAAAGGTGGGGTGAAGGATGGCTTTCGTGTTTTTCACTTGAGGGACTAGGCAGATGAATAGTAATGCTACATTCTGAAGCAGGAGCAGTGTTAGAAGACGGGATTTTGGAGAAGAGAAAAATAACTCATTCAGATGTGTGTTTGCTGTGCCTATGAAGTATCTGCACCAAGTGAACAGAGAAAGTCACCTACACCAACAGGTACAGAGCTTAGAAAGAAAGTGTGGGTCACAGACACACACACATACCTGAGGGTGAAATCAACTCAGCGAAGGGGCAGAGATATATCTGAGAAGGAGAATACAGAATAAGAGATTTAGGAACTGCAATATTTAATTGTTGGGCAGAAAGACACAGTGTAAAGTGAAAAAATATTAAGGTATAAAACAATGAACATGGTGAGTAAAAATGTCTGTTTATACATAGGCATTTGAAAAACATGCGCCTCAGGAAGAAATTTATGTAAATTCAGGACATGCAAGGCCTCTGAGACACATGTTTAAATATAGGGGTACAATCTGTCCATAAATGTACTATATTAAATGGCTACCTGCTTATCTTGATTCTAATGGCTATTATTATTTGTATCAAGTTGGGAACTAGGTAGCAAACATCAGAGGGACCATGCAGGTGCAAAGAGAGCGTTTAGACTCTTAAGATACAACAACAGAAGCCACCATAGATAGACTCTTTTTGTAATGAGACTCAGGACATGAAATCTGTCCCAAAAAAAAAAAAAAAAAAAAAAAAGTCATAAAATCAATAAACCAAAGACAAGTACTTCTTAACCACACACAGGTATCCCCCACTTTTTGAGAGTTTGCATTAGGCCTCTCTTCTTTTACAAAAGGCCTGCACTTGTACCTATTTTGGTGAACTAAAAGAAATATGGACCCTGGCAGGGTAAGCTCAGTTGGTTGGAGCATCTTCCCAACACGCCAAGGTTGGAGGTTAGATACCTGATCAGGGCGCATACAAGAATCATCCAACAAATGCATAAATAAGTGGGACAACAAATTGATGTTTTCTCCCTCCCTCCCTCCCTCTCTCAACTCAATATTCTATAAAAATTATTTTATAAGAAGCAATATGGCGAGGATTTTTGTTTTTATGAGAAAAGGGAAGAAGCAAAAATAGCTTTCAGTGTTTGTTTTTGCAGCAAGCTGTTATAGAGGCAGTACACACCCTGTGACATCCAAAGCTCCTCCCCCTGGAACCACACTCAGCATCTCAGCATCCAACCATCATAGCTTTGAATTGTGTCTGTGAGCATGTGTGCTTCATGTGTGGCCCTCAGACCCAGAGGTGGCCAGTTCAATTCCCAGTCAGGGCATATGTCTGGGTTGTGGTTGGGTCTCCAGCTGGGGGGTATGCATGCAAGGGGCAACCAATCGATGTTTCTCCCGCACTTTGTGGTTTCTTTCTCTCTTTCTCCCTCCCTTCCCCTCTTTCTAAAAACAAATAAATAAAAATTTAAAAAAGGAAGAATGAAAGAAAAGCCTAAGAGAGCTCATAAGGACGTTTTGCTTACCATAAAACTGGATATAATTAAGTGTAATTCGTAAGATTTGGTAGGTTATCTTTCAGGTCTGGGAATAGTTCAAAAATTTTCCATATATAGCTTTGCGCAGTGGCAGTATCATATAGCCAATGAAGTTTATCAAAAATTTTCCATATAAACTAATGGTAACTGCTTCTTTGCTTTATGCTATCTTGGCTGCTGAAAGGTTTCATGGGAATGATCTACTTTTGGGTAGCAGGGGAAACCTGTCCTCCTTTATCTTTGTGAACAGAAAAAAAAAATTTACATTACCTTATACACTTCACTAAAGCCACCTCTACCAAGCAGATGCAGTAATAAATATCTTTCATTTAACGTTGGGTGATCTTTGAACCTTAAAGGAGGGAGGAAAAACACTCAGTATCATGAAAATACACACTAAAAGGTTCTTTCCACAATAAAGTTCCACTCTCATATTCTACTCCTAGCCATTTGTTTCTCTGTTCCATACTTTTCTTTCTTTATCTCCATAACTATCACCCATCTTAATGCCTAATGTTCACAAAGCTTAACATTTATAGCCAAATATTCAGGTTCAATGACCAATTACAGCACCATAATAAAGAGCTGCCCGTTGTGTTGTCAAGAGCTTTATGAAATCCCGTATCTGCTCAGCAGGAATTACTTCCCTTGGAAAAATGTATTTTTATATTGGAGGTTATGGTTAATCAAGGTTTTATAGTACTGACATATGATTAAAAAGAATTACACTTATAATCTGGCCTTCACCCATGATTAAATTCTACTGTCTTTGGACTTCCATAAATAAAATTTTAATTCCCAATTAAAAAAGATAAACTTGTTTAAAAACTTTAAAAAAAAATCACTCATAGATAATACTAGTATTACAGATCCACAAACAAGTTTAAACATAATTTTCAGAACAGCTAATTGTTAATTAGTTTTGTTCTGTTTTATTAGAATTTCCATCTGGTATAATTTAAGTTGTTCCATAACTATAATATTTCATACACAGGTGATAAAAATAGACATTCTTAATTTTAAGCAAGATATTTATATTTCACAGCAGAAATTGGCCATTTCCAATTCTGACAAGTCATGCTTCATTTCCATTTCCTCATAAAGCTCCCACCAGACCACAGGTGTTTTCTCTCCATTTTCATAACCAGGGATTAAGGACAGAGACTATAACTTAAACTATTTTTCTATTCTGTCTGAAGTTTTGCATAATAATGCTGAATATATGGCTTACAGAAATCCTTTTAGTTGAAATAATTTCTCCTTCCTTACTATAATATTAATTTTGGTATTCATTCAACAAATTATTTGTTGCATGCCTACCATGTGCCAGGAACTGAGTTAGGCTTTGCACATACGGTAAAGAAAAAATTAAGTCCCTCCTCTCATATAGGTTATAGTCTAGGGGGAGGAGACTGATAATAACTGAAATGTAAATTTTTAATTCCAAGTAGTGATAAATGTTATAAAAAAATAAAGCAAGACAAAGATCCTGGGAGAGGGAATGGAGTGATGTAAAAACTGCTATTTTAGATAGGGCTGCCTAGGGATGGTCTCTTTACTGACCATTTGGAGTGAAATAAAAAGTAAGCCACTCAGATATTTAACAGAGGAACACTTGAGGTGAGAAAACGGCAAGCACAAAAGCCCTGAGATGGAAATGAGGGCTGGCATGCCTACAATCTACAGGTGAGGGGAGGGTGGCAGACATGTGTTGGTGAGGTGGCCAAATATAAGGCCTTCTGAGCCATGGAAGGACTATGGCTCTTTTGCCAAGAATGACGAGAAAGCCCCCTTGCCCCCAAGGAAATACTGTGTTTACACTTTGCACAGAGGAGAAACACTTTTGTTATGTAAAACAGAAATACAGATAATGACTTACTGCGAATTATCTTCATTATTTATCCTTTTGAGCTCTCGAATGTGAAGATTTCTAACTCTTTCCAAACGTTCAAGTTCTGCCTGGATTTCTGCCTCTTCCTGAAAATGAAGAGAGGGGACTATAACAAGCTCAATTTATTTGCGATATAAAAAAGATATTTTTACCCATGCATCAATTTTTTACAATGACAGGAAGAGTAGTGTATTATAAAGTACCACTGAGTAAAAAGACCAAAGAGCTCTCTTCAATGCCTGAGTGATGGAAAAGATCAAGAAAAAGCCTATTTCAAGAAACCATACTCCACATAAAAATCTATACCTAATGAGATGCTGAATTTTATTCTGTACAAGAAATTTATTTTTATAATGTCTAAACTGAAAACGACTGCCAGGTAGTCTGAAACTGCCTTATAACACAAAATGAGCTGAAAGCTTTATTTCTGGTACATCCAAATTTTAATTTAAGAGGGAATAATTTACTAGTAAAAAACAAATGAAGATATTTTAAAAGAGTTAAAAGAAGAAAGGAAGACAGAACTGCCGATTATTCCTCGACATTACAACATTTGGAACACGAATGAACACACACCCACCCCCTACTCTGGATAAATCCCACCATAATCTTAAAGAGACTCTTAGAAAAAAATTTTATGAATAGTTGTGACAGGTCCTTGGTTATCACAGCAGATCTACACAAATCATAAAGAAATTATGTTAACATTCACTTAACAAACATTTTGATATTGTCATGTCTCAAAATATATTTTAGAACATTTTTTAAAAAACACTAAAACAACATAATCACCCATCACACACACCCTCCTTCTGATCCATCAATATAAATCTGAATACTCTTTAAAGATTGAATAAGGATATACCACATTTCAGTCGATGGTTCTAAAAATGTCCAATTTTATAAATTTTAAATATTTGTTGAGTAAATAAAAATTACATATTGCCTTGACCTAAAAGTGTACCTACTACCACTCTACCTCTATACCACAGGAAACAAGAGACTGCTTCTGAATACTGTACTTAAGTATTTCTGTATTTCATCAGCTCCTCCTCTTTTAATGATTTATCTAACATTTTAAAACCCTTTATCTCAAAAAATTAGTGATTCTGAAATTTACTTTGAAAATATAAATATTATTTCATTCCAAAGCAGATTACGGAGGTATAACATATAACTGAGGCTTACACACAAAGAAATATTCTAAGTATTATGAAGAAAAACAAATGTTCACAGGTTAAAAAATTAAATCTAAGTATGTTTGTATTCCACTTGACCCTTAATGTTATTTTAATTATTTTGACATGAAACTCAACCACTACTTGTTGTACAATAGATATTCAATGTAGATTAACGAGAAACTTCAAAATAAACACAAATGAAGATAAACTTTTCTACTGTAGAATTTTGGGGAGACTTTTCTAAAATATATATACTAAATAGATATTTAACCGAAATGTCCTCATTTAATGGAGCTTCAGACGCACATATTTCTAATTTTAATGAAAAAAGGAAGAAGTAAATATCTCAGGAGATTAAAGATTACTTACAAGGACAGAAAATAGATTAGAAGGCTTTGAAACAATAAACTCAAGCCAGAGCTTAGCTGTCTTAACTTACTCTTGTAATGGAAAAGGAAACTGGCCATATAGGAATGCCCATGAGTATGAAAAAAATTCAAATTCGTTTACACACAGAACACAGAAAATGGTAACTTTTTCTCTTCATATTACTAGTATTTGCTGCCTTAAAACTTAAATTGATTCTTACACATGTAGGAAGCTACTAAACATTGGTAGGCTGGTGGATTTTTAAATAACCTGGTAAAATAGTGAAATGCTTATTAGAACACCAGCTGAAATAGTTGTTTTAACTTTAGTTGAAATTGTGGTATGAGGATATTATTTCAAAAGTGAACTTACAGAAATTTTATTGAGTCATAAGTATAATGAGATTCAACTAGACTGTTGATACACATAATTATATATTTTATAATTTTTAGTAATTTTCAGATGTCAGTACAATGGCAGTAGCCAGTATCACAAAATAAATACTTATTTTAAAAAGTAAATGTATGCTGCATCAGTTAAGCAAGTGTTTTGTTTCTCTATAAAACATGACGAATATGTTCCACAAAACCTTACAATACAAAAGCACAAGCAAGCTTCATTTCAGTTTGAACTGTAAAGTATGTTAGAGGAAAAAAACAAAATGTCATAAGCACTAGGGAAAAAAGAAAAAGCTGGTTCCTAGGTATTTAAAAGGAAATGTCAAGGGAAGGAACTACAACCAAGTCTTACATGTAGACAGACATAAATCCTCCACAGTCAGTGAAATATATTTACAAATTCCATATTTTAATTCATATTTATTTGACATCTTGGACCTTAAAGTGACATGCTCTGGAAGAAAAGATAATTCTGCAACTCTAAGTAATTTCTCTCAGAATCCTGCTGAGAAGTATACATAATATTATGGACTGAAGGTGTGTGTTCCCCTAAAATTCATGTTTACACTCCAACTCTCAATGTGATGGCTTTTGGAGATGGAACCGTTGGGGGGGAGGGTAATCAGTTAGATTAGGTCATGAATGTGTGACCACCATGATGGGATTAGTGGCTTTTTAAGGAGGAAAAAGATATCCCCCCATACCTACCCTTCCTTTTTGGGAGCATAAAGAAAAGGCCAGGTGAGGACATGAGAAGGTGACCTTCTACAAACCAGAGTCTCACCAGAAACTGAACCTAGCTAGACCTTGATCTTGAATTTACAGCCTCCAGAACTGTGAGAAAGTAAGTTTATGCTGTATAAACCACTCAGTCTATGGTATTTTGTTATGGCTGCTGAGTGGATTAATACACATAGTTTTAGGCACAAATACTAAGGCAATACTGCCTAATATCCTATCCCTTATAGAAAGGGGCAAGGCCCAGTTTTGGTCTGGCCTCAGGGCACAAGTCTAGAATACAACAGTCTCAGCAACTAGTTTAACTTTAGTGCAGATCATTTCGAAAGATCTTATCCCATTGGCTATGCCCTCCTTGAGATCAACACTAACTTATGGGCCCTCCTCAGAAGTAATAGTTTTCAGAGCCTTAAGGAGAAACACCTGGGCTTACAATTCTGTCTAAATTCATTATAGAATGGAATACTCAAACTCAACGGCAAAACTAGGCCATATTACTAAAATAAAAGAGAGATAATCCAACCAGCTACTTCACGCTCAGTAAGAATACCAAGTTTAAACCCTCCCATCATCCACTAGCTGAGCTGTTAAAGTAGAGAAGGTCTAGACTAGAAGAAATAAAGAACTACATAGTACCTCTGGAAAGGAAATGGTCTCTGTAGGCAATTATAGTGTCGAAGGAACATGAGTAAGAACAGATTGTATGAGAGAGAGAGGTAGATTTCGTGATCACATACAATAAAAGAATATGGCTATTTTCTGTTTCAACAAAATGACAGAGATGGACAACTTAACAGCATACACACTATAGTTATTTAAACAGTATTTTAAAATAAGCTCTACAATTCTAAGTATTATATTGAAAAACAGGCCATACAAGTATACAACAGATCCTGATACTGCCTCATTGTTTATGAAACCTGCAAACCACACTACCTTCCAAAAATTTTTTATTAAAAATTTTAAATGAAGTATTAAATTTTAAAATATTTTTAAAATAAATAATGAAAAATTTATAGGGAAGATAAATTTCACAGTCACTTAACCAGAAAGGCTTGTCCACAGCTGTCTAGCATACAAATGTTTTCTATTTGTTATCAAAGTCTCTTCTGGCAACTTAGTATCCACTTGGCTTAACATTCTAAGCCAAAAGTTACGTTACAGTAATGTGGAATCTCTGCAAACGCCAGGCTAAGACTGATTGGCAGATTTGGGATATTTTTGAACATCTCCCATAATGGTAATTAAGAAAAAAACAGGCGGGGTGTGCAGGAATTAAGCTCTAATGCTTAGAGAGTTATAAAAAGCAATTTCACATGTAAAACTTATATATTTCCTGAAAAAATTAAACATACTAGTTTAAACTTCTTTAGCAAATCAACAATGTGTATACCATATCACCCCCCTGCACAAACTCCCCTCAGTATTGATGATCTGCCTTTTTATATAACTGAGATAAGATGGAAAATATTTTCATATAACTTTCTCAGTTTGCCTATAATTGATGAGGGCTGATACAAGAAATTCCGTGTGGTATATTATGAAAATGGTGGAAACTGGGAAATGCACATCATTTCAAATCATCTATTCAACACCACAATACATCACTTGGTCTAGGAAAACTAGTTCAGAATGAGGTTTCAAAAAGTTGAACACCAAATTCATTTTAGTAATGGACGACAGGAACCCCTTACAAGTCAGTATCTCTAGGTCCTCAAATTAAGTTTTACTTCATAAACTATGTAATTCTAAAAGTTTATCACCAGGAAAGTGAAAGGTGAAATTAACAAAAGCCACTATTAAAAGCTAATGGAAGGGAGAGTACAGAAAAGAATTAAGAAGATGATTATTACCAATTTACTTCAAATTTATCCTCATATGTTCCTCGATAATTCTATTACATGCTTTCACATATCTTAAATATGGATATGAGATATATGAACCATTGGAAATTTCTGACCCAACCAACCAAAAGACCACCTAGGCAGCAGGTCTAAATTTGAAGAAGTCGGTTTTGAAATTACCTGGCCACTGTCCTATTTCTGCTTCAGTATGATTGTGCAGATTGAAGAGTGGGGTAGGAGAAAAAGGGATAAAAATTATGAAATTCTTGGGGGGCGGGGGAGGGAAGTTCTTTTCTAACTATATACATGTTCCCTCTACTTCCATCCCTACGAATCACTGAGCTAGTTATTACTGTATCTCCCTCAGGTGTGTTTAACTGACTCAGATAATTATTTTAGGACCTTAATGTTTTCCTCTCTTTGCATTTCATTTCCTTCTTTGGTGAGGGGGTAGTTGTGCTGGGGTGGTGCCTTATTCTTTCTTTAAATGCATACAAACTTATATTAAAATCCCTAATTGGGAATAACTTAAAACAAGCAGTGATTCTGTCAGTTC